CTCCTGGCTCTGCACTCAGGGATCTCTCCTGGCAGGCTCTGAGAATGGGTGCCAGGGATCACACCTGGGTTGAGTGCACGTAAAGGCAAGCGCCTTATCTGCTGTACTATCTCTCTGCCCCGCCCTCTCCCCTGGCACATTTTTTTAAAAAAAGGACTTTTTAAAAAATATCTGATTTATCGATTGCTTGCTTCCTGTTGGGTTTATCTTTTTAGTGGTGGGGCACAAAGGTGCCGCTCAGAGACTGCTCCTGGCTCTGTGCTCAGGGGTGATTCCTGGGGTGCCTGGCATCAGGTACCGTGTCCCGCGTCGCTAAATAGAACAGGGTCCCCGAGGCGAAAGGAGATTGGCCACAGGGTAAGGAGGGCTGAACAAGCAATGCTCATATAACATCTTTTTTTTTTTTTTAATGTAGGAGTACTGCTGTTTATTCAGCCACTGATTAGCTGATTGAACTGGGCATGAACTCCACCTTACTTTTTTTAGTTTCATTTTTTATCATTTTATTTATTGAATCACCGTGAGAGCAGTTACAAAGCTTTCGGGTCTAAGCCTCGGTCATACAATGAAACACCCGTACCTTCACCAGTGCCCACTCTCCACCACCAAAACCCCCAGTATACCCCAATCCCACACCCTCCCCCTACCTGTGGGGCAGATGATTTCCACATTACTCTCTCTCTACTTTGATTACATTCAATATTTTGACACTAGACCCACCATTATTATTTGGGATTTTACCCCAACACTCAGATCTGCTGATAAGGCAACAGTAGACAATTTGTTTTCTATTGCTGGTTATGAATAACATATGATGTCGTGCGGCTGCAGTAGTGGGAGCGTGATTTTGAAATTCCGAAATTTTAACAATTAAATCTGGAGGGATTTCTGCCCAAACCTGCTGGGTTCCGAGATTTGTTCCTGAGTCTCTTGGATCATGGCCATTAAGCAGTTTGATCAGGAGCCAGAAAGGCCATTTGTGGGCGGTGACTTGGGGTCTCGTTGGGACGTGGAGGAAAGGGCCTGCTCCATCCATCCCCATCCTGTGAGGCCTCAAGTGTCTCATCACTGAGGGCCCAAACCTGACTGTCCAATAGCCTCTGGAGGATTGCGGCCACTGAGCTGCCAAGGAGGAGCAGGCAGAGGGATAGCACCCTTTACCCCCTGGAATGGCCCAGAGACAGTAACCTACTGTGGGGTCCGGACGCATTTCTGCCAAAAGCCTCTGGGTTTCGAGATTTGTTTCTGAGTCTCTGGGATCATGGCCGTTAAGCAGCTTGATCAGGAGCCAGAGAGGCTGTTCATTGGTGGCGACTCGGGGTCTCATTGGGGTGGGGGAGAAAGGGCTGGCTCCACCCCCATTCCATGAGGCCCTGTGTGTCTCATCACTACAGGCCCAAACCTGACTGTCCAATGGCCTCTGGCAGATGGAGGCCACCAAGCCGCCAAGGGGGAGCAGGTGGAGGGACAGCACCCTTTCGCCCCTGGGGTGGCCCGGTGACAGTAACCTACTGTGCAGTCCGGACATATTTCTACCAAAAGCCTCTGGGTTTCAAGATTTGTTTCTGTGTCTCTGGGATCATGGCCATTAAGCAGCTTGATCAGGAGCCAGAGAGGCTGTTTGTGGGCAGTGACTCGGGGTCTCCTTGGGACGGGGAGGGAAGGGCTGGCTCCACGCCCATCCTGTGAGGTCCCACGTGTCTTGTTACTGTGGGCCCAAACCTGACTGTCCAGTGGCCTCTGGAGGATGGCAGCCACCAGGCCGCCAGGGGGAACAGGCCAAGGTACAAAACCTATTCCCACCTGGGGTGGCTAGGCACCTGTAACCTACTGCAGGGATTGGACGCATTTCTGCCAAAAGTCGTTGGGTTTTGAGATTTGTTTCTGAGTCTCTGGGATCATAGCTGTTAAGCAGTTCGATCAGGAACCAGAGAGGCCTTGCCTCTAATTATATAGCTGAGCCGGAGGTGGTTTGTGGGTGTGTCTCCCACATACCTAACTTTTGGCCATTTACTTTCTTGGTAAACTTTGCCCCAAGTTTTTGGGGTCTGGCCAAAAGCACAGCAGCAATTTGGGGGTATCTGGAAGTCTGAAGGTGCCATCAGGCTGCTGATGCACTCGCCTCACAGGTACAGATTGACCTGCTGGTGGCACCATACCCCCAACAATATCTTTACTGAACAAGCAACAGACTTTTATGAGTCTCTAGAAGGAAACATACATGGGAAAAATATACAGGAATGTTCAGGATACGTAAGTTTAGAATGTACTGGGCTCCAGACGTCAATGATGTTTTTCTATAATTACGTCATTTTCATGATATTTTCCTTGGTTATATATTGATATACCTTCGCAACATGTTCTGCCATAAGAACAATGAAAGAGCCTGCTAGAAAAACAAGAAAGTCAGCCCTTAGAATGTGTAACCCCAAGACAATGGTTTCTATAAACCAGTATTTGGACAACACATCCCCAGGACAAGAACTTTCTGAATATTCAACTAGCACAGGTTCCCAACAATCAGAAATGGAACCCATGCAAAGCCCACACTCATCTTTTTCAGCTATTCCTCTGACCCCTAAATTTCTTTTATTTAGGCTTCATGATTTATAAAACTTTCAATAATAGAGTTCCAGGCATTCGATGTTCCAATTCCAAACCAACCATCACTTTCGGCGTCCCCATGGCCAAAGTTCTCTCCAGCTCACCTCCTTATCAAACTCATCTTAAAAACTTTTTGTTGTTGTTTACGGACCGTGAATGGCAGGGTCTCAGGGATTACTCCCGGCTCTCTGTTCAGGTACTACTTCAAGCAGGGTTTGGGGAACCATATGGGATGCCAGGGATTGAACCCGGGTTGGCTGCATGCAAGACAAATGTGTGACCCACTGTACTATCGTTCTGGTCCCTACAACACACCTTCAGTACCCATTCGTCTGTCATCGGACATTCGGGTTGTTTCCATATTTTGACTATTGAACTAACTTCTACAGTGAACATCGCTGTGCCTATCTCGTTCGAATTCATGTTTTTGTCTTTTAAGGGTAGATGCCAAGAGGTGGGGTCATTGGGTCATGTGGAAGCTCTATTCTTCGTTTTGTAAAGAAGTGTCCATAGCGTTTTCCGTAGGGGCTGGAAGGGGTGACATTCCCACCAGCGTGCTAGAGCCCCTTTCTCGCCACCTCCCCGCCAGCACCAGCTGTTTACAGTTTTCCTAATATGTGCTGTTCTCACTGGTGCTGGATGATATCTCACTGCCATTTAGATTTGGTTCCCTGATAATAAGTGAATCATATGACTACTTCCAAGGCCCCTTCTTGTTTTTGTTGCTACTTGTCTTCTTTGGGGGGCCATAACAAGCTGTGCTCAGGGCTTACTTTTGACTCTGTACTCAGAGATCACTCCTGGCAGTGCTCAGTGGCCCAACTCTCAGGCCTGGGATCCAACCCTACCCCTACTCCTAACATCCTAACCCTAGCCCTAACCCTGACCTAACCCTCACCCAACTCTAAGCCTAATCCTAACCCTAACTATAACCCTAATGGTTTAACCCTAACACTAACCCTAGGCCAAGCCCTGACCCAACCCTAACCCAACTCTAAGACTAACCCTAACCCTAACCCAACCCTAAACTTAACCCTAACCCTAACCATAACGATAACCCAACCCTGACCCTCACCTAACCCTAACCCTGTACTCTCTCTCCAGCTCCTATTGTTGTTTTTTTTCAATTTTGATTTATGGGTTTCCCAAGTGGTGCTTGGAGCCCTCTAGGGCTGTTTGCCCCAATGCTCAGGGGACCATGTGGCACTGGCAATGATTGAACAGAGTTGGCAGCTTACAAGCATATGCCTTTACCCCAGTACTATTTCTGCATAGATGAATCTTCTAGAAAGAAAACGAAACTTTAAAAATTACTTAAAATGTAATTATATATTTTAGTAGGTCCACATCTATAGGCGTTCTGGGTCCATTAGGCTGGTCATCTGAGCCTGGGGCTGGTGCATGTGGGCGTTCTTTGGCCACTTGAGTTTTCTTCCAGCTTGACTATTGCTATATTTTTTTGACACTTTTACTGATGAAACATAGAAGCTCCCCAAGTGGGAAGTCAGGTGAATTTTCACACAAGTGAACAGTTAGACTAGGGCAACTTCTCCAGCTGCCCCCACACAGTCCTTTTTTTGGACAAGAGAACACCTGGCAAGTGCTCAGGACTTGCTCCTGGCTCTGCGCTCAGGGGTCACTCCTGGTAGGCTCAGGGGACCGTATGGGGATCGAACCCATATGGGATGCAGGGATCCAGCCTGGATTGGCCACGTGCAAGGTGAGCGCCCTGCCCACTGCACTAGGGCTTCGGGCCCTGTCACTGGTTCTTGATGCTTGTCAGAGGGGAACTCAGCAGCCTATGTCCACGCAAGACTATGGACAAGGGGACTCTGATCCTCTCATCAACCCATACCTGCAACAAGCAAATACTTCCTGTTGTCATTTCATTCGGTTTCCACAGAGAGCAGAATTTAAAAAAGAATAGTGCCACTGGTCAGTTATGTTTGCAGTAAAGAGAGGATATTGTCATGATTGCTTGCAAGGAGAAACCAGGAAACACTAAACAACATTTACAGTAGCCTGTCGTGGGCTGCCACTATTTGAACCCTATTTCCAAGTGGTCAGGAGGCACATCCTGTCCCCAGGCCATGCACAACCAGCTGCCACCAGCTGCCCACCCGCCCCTCCCCCCCACAGCCCTGCTCCTGGCCACCATTCCCGAGTGCTCCTCCAGTGCTCACTGAAAGGTGCTGGAGACAGAGGTGGCGTCCCGGGGCTTTGGAAGCTGTGTGTGGCTCCACCCTGCACCCTGAGCCTTGGTCTGGGAGGAGCTGTGAGTGGGTCACTCTGGGCTGGGGGAGGCGGGGAATCAGCTTCATAGCCTTGAGCTGGAGGTTATAAGCTGCCTCTGGGGCCCTGGGCCAGAGCCACCCAGCCAGGGCCGTGGGGATAGCATGCTGGCCAGGGGCCTCGTCCCGCGCTCAGGCCTGCTCAAGGGCCACCAGCCCCTCCTGAGCACCCCTCGAGAGGGCCCGGGGCATCCCTGGGGGCCTCCTGGAGAGGGAGCTGGCATGTCCACACGCAGCCCTCGCCCCTACACCGAGATCCCCTCCCCCGGAGACAACGGCTGGCTTAACCTGTTCCACTTCTGGAGGGAAAACGGCTCCCACAGGATCCATTACCACCAAAAGCAGAACTTCCAGAAGTACGGGCCCATCTACAGGTAAGGTGGGGTGGGGGGATAAGGGGGGCAGGAAGGGGTGAGCGCCCCCCACATGCTCCCCTTCCCAGTAGTCTGAGACCCTGTCCATCTCTCCATGCCAGGGGACCGTGGAAAGAGGGCAAGGCTTGGCAGATAAGGGGTTCAGTTCCTTCACCCACCTGGGTGCCGGCCCCTTTGGGACTTTGCAGGGGGAGGGAGACAGACCGTTCTCGGGCCACCGCCACCATCAGAGCGCCTCAGGGAGAGGGTCAGCCCCAGGGTCAAGGGGCTGAATGAAGCTCAGAGGCAGGGCTGTGACCCGGCCCCCAGCTAGACCCTGTCCTGTGCCTAAGGAACCCTGGGTTGTGCCCACCCTCATCAGTCCAGGAGGATCTCTGGTCTTTTACCTGAGTGGGCTGGAGCGATAGCACAGCGGGTAGGGCGTTTGTCTTGCACGTGGTCGACCCGGGTTTGATTCCTCTATCCTTCTCAGAGAGCCGCAAGCTACCGAGAGTATCCCGCCCTCATGGCAGAGCCTGGCAAGCTCCCGGTGGCGTTATTCGATATGCCAAACGCAGTAACAACAAGTCTCACGATGGAGACGTTACTGGTGCCCACTCGAACAAATCGATGACCAATGGGAGGACAGTGCTACAGTGCTACCTCTGAGTGCTCCAGGAGCCTGTGGGGAGGGGTCTTCTGAGGTGGGGGGCCTGCCTGGTTTTCATTTAGAGGCTTCTTGCTTGCTTACTTTTCCCTCTCTCCCTCTCCCTTCTGTGTGTCTCTCTTTTTTCTCTCCCCGCCCCTCCCCTCCCCACCCCTCCCCTCCCTTCCCACTCTCCTCCCTTCCCCCTCTCATTCCCTCCCCTCCCTCCCCCTCCCGTTCCTTACTCTCCCCTCCTCTCCCCACCCCTCCTCTCCCCACCCCTCCCCTTCCCCTTCCATTCCCTCTCCTCCCCACCCCTCCCATTCCTTGCCCTCCCCCTCCCCACCCTTCCCCTCCCCTTCTCTTTCCTTCCTTCCTCCCTCCCTCCCTCTCTCCCTTCCTCCTTCCCTCCCTCCCTCCCTTCCCTTTTCCTTTCTTCCTTCCTTCCTTCCTTCCTTCCTTCCTTCCTTCCTTCCTCCCTCCCTCCCTCCCTCCCTCCCTCCCTCCCTCCCTCCATTCCTCCCTCCCTTCCCCTTTCTTTTCTCTATGCTGTGCTCAGGGCTCTGTGCTCAGGGATGACTCCTGGCGGGGCTCAGGGACCATCTGCAGGGCCCAGGAGCGAACCGAGGTTCTCATCTGCAGACAAGCGCCTCAGCCCCAGGACTGCCCCTCCTGCTCCTGCTTCAGAGTCCAGCCTTCAAGCCATCCCTGGACTCCTTCCTGTGTGCAGTGTTGAGTGCGTGGGAGGAAGGGACCTGGGCAGGGAGGGACACCCCTGCGGCTTTGCTGACAGGGCCCAGCACTCACCCCCCCCCCGCCCCCCCTCCCCCTGTCACCCTCTCCCTCTGTACTTTTTGGTGCCTGCCGAGCAACCAGGGAGCTGTCCCCTCAGTCCCTTCCAAACGCCTTTGATCTGGCCAGGGCCCAGGCTGATTGGGTTTAGGTCTCTTCTGGGCTTGGTCCTTGCCCAGCTGTGTGGCACCCCTGTGCCCGCCTCTCCATGTCGTCGTCCCTCCTCCTGCCCCACTCCCTCCTCTCTCCCGAGAGGGGCGCCTGCCATTCCCCAGCTGCTTTCTGGTCCAAGTGGCTTTCATCTGAGCTGCAGCCTGTCTTTGAAGAGGGCCTTATCTCCGCTTCCCAGGCGGGGAGAGGAGAGGCAGGCAGCCGAGTCTGAGCCAGCACAGCCACCAAAGCCTGGCACCCCCCAGCTGCACTCCAATCTAGAGCCCGGAAGCGCTGCCTGTTTGATGCAGGGAGGATTTGGAGGCTAGCCTTCCCGTGCTTTGTCTTCTCTCCCTCTTAAACGAGGCCCTTCCTGTTGGTGTCTAAGTCCCAGTCCGTTCTAGAAATACGGAGGGGCAGGAAGGAGCTGGAGGTCTGCCCTGGGCCCTGCTTGGGCAAGGGGGTTTTGTGTCCATCTGCTCCCAGGCTGACTGCTCCCGGGGTGGCTGCGCTGGGCTTCTGGCTCTTTGAACCAGATGGATGTTCAGCCCACTTGGGGCTGTTTGTGGGGTGCAGCAGGGGGACCCCCTTGCCCACCAGCCGCCTGGTCTTTGTGGTCTTGGCTCTGGGCTTGGTTCCTTAGATGACAGCCAGGTCCAGGCTTCCGCTGAGCTGCGGGGGGCCAGGTGAGAGCTGGACAAACACACAGGGCCTTTCCGGGCCGGGAGCCTTGGGAAAGGGAGTCTCTGGCATCAGGGGGCCTGGGTTCGAGCAGGCTGTCTGCTCTCCCTCCCTCAATGCCTCTTCTCCCAGCTTACCCCTCTCCTCCCCACATTCTAAGGGCAGGAGGGAGGGAACTGGGGGGAGGGAACCGGCCTGAACCACATGTTCTTAGGGTACTTTTGACCTTGGAGTGTGGAGAGGAGTGGAGTCTCACAGGTGGTGCGTGAGGCCATAAGTTTGACCCCAGCTGACCTGACCCGCGGGACTAGTCAACGTGGATAACCGGGAGAGGGTGCGCGAGTGGGGAAAAAAAGAGAGAGAGAGGGGCTGGAGTGATAGCACAGCGGGTAGGGCATTTGCCTTGCACGCAGCCAACATGACTGACACAGGTTCGATTCCCAGCATCCCATATGGTCCCCTGAGCACCGCCAGGAGCAATTCCTGAGTGCATGAGCCAGGAGTAACCCCTGAGCATCGCCGGGTGTGACCCAAAAAGCAAAAAAAAAAAAAAAAGAGAGAGAGAGAGAGAAGAATGGGAGCAAGTCAAGACTCTGATCAAGCTCCAGATTTATTTCTCTCAAGCTAGCCTTTTATAATTAATTACATGAGGAAGTGGGCAAAATGGGAAATTAACAAAGCCTGCAGATTTTCAATAAATCATGGTGTGAGCCCTAGCGGTAGACTCATGGCACTTATCCTGGACATATCTCAGAAACTTACGCAATGTAACACTGTAACACTGTATTTTAACATTTTTCCAAGAAGAGATTTGTCTTAAATCGCAGGTAAGGCTGTACTGACATTCTGGCTCCCTGCATCTCCTCCCTTTTTATTATTAAGATAGGCAATTAAGGGGCTGGAGTGATAGCACAGCGGGTAGGGCGTTTGCCTTGCATGCGGCTGACCCAGGTTCGATTCCCAGCTTCCCATATGGTCCCCGGGGCACCGCCAGGAGTAAGTCCTGAGTGCAGAGCCAGGAGTAACCCCTGAGCGTCTACGGTGTGGCCCAAAAAGAAAAAAGATAGGCAATTAAGTATCTAATAGAGAGTCTTAATTTTTATTTTTAAAATAGGCAATAAAGTATCGGCAGTATAGAGGGCCTGTTCTTGCAGCTCCAGAGATAGCTCAACCCGTATCACAGAAGGCAAGTTCTCATTCCTGGAAAGAAGGGCGTTAACCAGCGGGGAAAGTAGGGGCCTATCCCCCAGTCACTATTAAGGATCCTTTCAGTGGGGAGAGGAATATTGTTCAGATATGCAGATAGGCATGCTTCTGCAGAGCTCAGGATGGCCTTTGAAGGCTCCTCGTCGGCGGATACCGCCTGGTTCCACCCCCCGGAGGTGCCCATAGCATCATCACAACTGCCCTGAGATGCAGCTGCCCTAGTTCGGGTGCAAGGAGCCAGTAGCTTCACAAGGAGCGGGTGTACAGGTCCATCCAGGCACCTCTAACCCTTGATCAGCAAGATCCAATCAATGGTAATGAATTTGGATGGGTTTTGATGCCAGGGAGTTAATCTGCTTTTTTATAAAAGCCATAACTCTATTAAACAAAAATGGAGCCAGGGATATTACAATCAGGATACCAAAAGGGGACCAAGCAAGGGAAGCATATAAGGTAATATTCCTCCCATCCCCCACCACCCTTGGGAGGCCTCTGCTTGGGTCGTCTCCGCTTCTCAAGGTCTTCTTGGAGCTGTCTTATTCAATATCAGACCACGCCACTCTGGTTGACGAAGAAGCAGCATTCTTCTTGCAAAAAAACACAAAGACTGCCCTTTTCGGCAGTAAGGAGGTCCAGGCCTCGTCGATTCTGCAATACAACTTGGGCAAGAGAATTTAATTGCTCTTGAACGGTCAAAATAATTTGGGATACCTCTTGGATGTCCCCTATCAGCCGATTCTGCGAGGAATCATGTAAGGAGACAGCAGTGGTGATGCCCGCTGTGCCTGTGGCAATCGCAGCTGCCACTCCCAGGCCAAGGAGAAAAGGGATGAAGGCAGGAGACCGGGGTGTACGAGTATGTTCTTTCAAAAGTATTGGGATGGGTTTGGATGCTGGGTATACTGAGTATACAAAGGTGTGGGAAAACAAAGACAATGGTACAAATTCCAGTCCAATTTCCATACAGAAAGGGGCTAATACCCGTGTCACAAAGAAATGAGGCATTATAGGGAGGGCAATACTTAAGGGCAGCATCCATAACTGGGGGTTCCAGGAATTTTTTACAATCAAGGGAAAGTTTCCCAGTAGGAATACTGGTTAAGTTAGACTTATTAAAGCAAGTAAAATTCTCCGGAACTGTAGACAGCACATGATGGAAAAAATAATACAAAGGTCTATTATCCTGACAGGGCTTAATTACTTCAGAGAAATTAAGGGTATCATTAACCAGCAAGCTGGAGGCATCTAGGGGGACCTCAGAGGAGGGGCACATACACAACCAGCACCCTTGAGCGTACTCAACTGAGTAGCATTAAGCAATTGATAGGAATATTTCAACAATGCAAGTGAAAAGGCAAAGGTCCAAGAATGTACTGGGTTAACTTGTTGTACAAGAGCTTGTAAAGCCTGGAATGAATGAGCCAACTGTAAATATAAAAAGGGAGGTTATGAATATCAGTGTTTGAATGGCACTCAGAGACCCAGTGGTTTCCTTGTTTGCAACGTGGGCAGGGAGTGTTAGGAGAGGGACGCTCCATAGAGCAATTTTGTGCAAAACTACCTGGTTGCCTGCATTTGAAGCAGGTTTTTCCTCTAGGGGCGACATATTCCTTTAAGGCAGCCCCAATGGCCATCCCAATGGCATGAGAAGAGCCAATCCCTGAGCATAACCGAATGTAATCTGAGAGGTCGGCACCAGATGGCCGCCTGGCACGCGGGGTTAGCGGGTTCGGTCTCAAATGCCAGGTGTTTGACAAAAGCACTTTCATTTTCTCTGCTGCCACTGCCGACCAAGCTCTCAGCGGCGTCAGTCAGGCCGCTGATGAAACTGCTATAGGGTTCATCTGCACCCTGCGGCAGCTTCGCGAAGGGAGGTGGTCGCAGACCCCTTAGGGAGGAGGCGTTTCCAAGCCTTGAGACCAGCACGCTGAATTTGGGCAAGGAGACTAGGGGGGAAGTGGGTCTGGCTATCGTTAGTGTCATATGGACTGCAGCCCAAGAGTTTATCTCTAGTCCAGTTTTTAGAGGCTACATTACCCAGATTTCATTGGGCAGTTTCCCTGCAATTCTCAGTGAACTCAGTCCTCCACAGGACACAGTCGCTTCCGGACAAGGTGGCCGCGCCAAAGAATACCAATCATTAGGTGTCAGCCAGCGGTCACTAAGATTATCAAGGGATGCCAGAGTAATGGGAGCTGTGGGTCCATACTGGGTTACCGTCTCTTTCAGTTCTTTAAGGTGTTTAATGCTAAGGCGGTGATATTTTTGGCCAGCGACCTTGTCTGGGTTGGACTGGTCTGGGTGATCAAAAGTTTCCTCCTCGTCAGAACCTGAGTTTTCTGAACCATCATCCTCTTGGGAGTCTGGCTCCTGAGCTCCAGTTCCAGGCCAAGTTCGTCGAGGACAGGATCAGATCTTGGGATGGTGTTAGCCTCTGAGGAGGTCTTACTACGGGTGGCAGGGAAGGCTAGGGCAGGAGGTTTAGGCTTTTTGGGGTGTTTTGATTGGGCTTCCTTAGAAAGGGAAAATTTCACTAATTCTTCATCTAATGCATAGAGTTCCTTAATCAAGCGGACATATTCCTGTTTCTGTTGGAGATCAGCTCGAAGAGTGGCTGCCTCTGCACACAAATGGCTTTTAGCCCTCTGAAGATTAATAATCTCAGGGTTAAAATCAAGAATCAGTGGAGCACTAAAAGGGGAAGTTTTAGGTAAAGCAGAGGGAGCAGAAGGTCGAATTGGAGCAAAATCAGAATAGGGAGGCAGAGGAGGGGAAGACAACTCAACTTTTTGAAGTGTATTATCATCATGATAACGGGCGGCCTCATCTTCCCAAGATGTAAGGTCCGCAGGTGAAAGATCATCAGGAGGGACAGTAAGGGAGGCATAAAGGGACTTAACCTGAAGAGAATCTTTAGACTGATCATTACAAGGGGGGAATTTGTATGGATTTGAATGGGTTTTGGCCGGACTGTTCGCTGGCCTGTTACCAGCAGCCAGGGGGCCATCCGGCATAGAAATGACAACAGAACCACAAGCTGAGGGTGGCCTCGAGAATCGCTGTAAAAGTTCTCTGCCCTGTTGAACAACGTCCCGTGCTTCAGGGGAATGATTATACATTTTAAGGATATCATTAGTGAGGTTCAGTAGGAAAAGGTTTGAACAGGGACCTTTTCAGGTCCAAAGGTGCCATAGTAATCCTTCAAATAGTCACCCACTCTCCCCCAGCATTAATAGTACCCTCTTGGGGAAACCAGGGCCAAACCTCAGTAATATAGGTAAAAAAAATTCATGCAAATCCTTTTTCTTTACCCTAATTCCTCGTGTTTCCAAGGAATCTTTAAGTCCTTTAAGAAATAAGTCATGTTTACTCAATGTCTGCCCCATGTTAATAAAGAAGGAAACAAAAGATGCAGTTATCAATGATCTCATAGTAATCAGGGGCCAGTGGAGTGATTGAGACGAGTGCCTAACAGATGCATAGTTTTTCTTCTGTGGGGGACGCAAATTTATCTGGGATTCGCGGCTGTGACCCCCTTATCCTGTCACAGGAGTCTTCTTGCTGCGGATGCACTAATGGCTCTTAAATGCCTGACCCGTGCCCGCAGGGGAGAGATCATTGTTGTTTCAGGAAAAATAACACTCAAACAGACTAACAAAAACATAAATCAAGTAAACAATAAGAAAAAGTATAAAAAAAGTGTACACAAACAAAAGAAACAGACTGAAGACAGGCCATAAGTTAGTATCTCGGTCAGTGCCTCGACCACCTCACCTGATGGGCCGAGGTTGAAAAGGATCACCGCTAACCTGTCCAAAGTCCCTGACTTCCTGTGAGCGCGGCCAATTTCCAGCGGTGCTCATCGCAGGGACCCCTCATGCCCAGCCCCACGTGGGCGCCACCTGCTCCAACCCGTGGGACTAGTCAATGTGGATAACCGGGAGAGGGTGTTGGAGTGGGAAGAGAGAGAGAGAAAGAGAGAGAGAGAGAGAGAGAGAGAGAGAAGAATGGGACCAAGTCAAGACTGATCAAGGGGCTGGAGCAATAGCATAGCGGGTAGGGCGTTTGCCTTGCACACAGCCAACATGGCCAACACAGGTTCGATTCCCAGCATCCCATATGGTCCCCTGAGTGCATGAGCCAGGAGTAACCCCTGAGCATCGCCGGGTGTGACCCAAAAAGCAAAAAAAAAAAGGGCTCTGATCAAGCTCCAACTTTATTTCTCCCAAGCTAGCCTTTTATAACTGATTACATGAGGAAGTGGGGGCAAAATGGGAAATTAAGAAAGCATGCAGGTTTTCAATAAATCAAGGTGTGAGCCCTAGCGGTAGGCTCATGGCTCTTATCCTGGGAATATCTCAGAAACTTACACAATGTATTTTAACATTTTTTCCAAGAAGAGATTAGTCTTAAATTGCAGGACAGGCTGTACTTACATTTTGGCTTCCGGCACCCAGCAAAAATAAATATAAAATAAGCATACATCTTGAATGGTTTCTTTCTTAGGGAGGCAGCCCAGGGGCCTGTGGGTCCCTCTTTGGGACATGGCCTGGCAGTGCAGGCTGGGGTTTGGCACTGGGGCCTCATAACGGGGTGTTGCTGGGGTCGGGGGCTGGGGCTTGGGGCCTGGCACACTCCCCCTGTGACTCTCTCCTGGCCTTGAATTAACTTTCCGATGCCACAGACAGTTGCAAGGGAGAAGCATTTGGTGAGAGCAAAGTGCTTTGCGAGGCATAGCAAGACGGGGGCTGGGCCCGGGAGCACTGTTATTTGAGTAGAAAGACAATTTGTCAGGTGGGCACCTCACTTGTGCCAGGGTGGCAGCACCTCGGGCTTCCTTCCTGGGGCCTAGGAGGAAGGGCAGAGGGCACCTGGGTTAGCAGGTCAGCAACCTGAAATGCCCTGTGGTGACCAGAGAGCTCTGGGGAGCAGGTGGCAGGGGGCTGTGGGCACACCGGAAGAAAGGGCATGAGACCCGGATGGCTCTGGGCAGGGGCGGGGGCAGGGCCCTGGTGGGGACAAGGGCTGTTTGACAGCAGGCATCGTGGTAGATCTTCTTTCAGCGGTCAGTGCCATGTTTCCCCCTCCTCACACCTGCCCTTCTCTTCTCACTTCTGCTCCCTTCCACCCCACTCCTCCCTGTGTCCCCTTCTCTCCTCACCTCTGCCACTTCCCTCCCCAAATCCTACCCCTTCCTCCTCAAGACTGCCCTTCTCTCCTCACCCTGCCCCTCCCTCTTCACCCCTGCCCCTCCCTCCTCACCCCTGCATCCTTCCCCCTCCCCCATCCCTACCCTGCCCCTCCCTACTCACCCCTGCCCCCTCCCTCCCACCTCCTGATCCCTCCCTCCTCATCCCTTGCCCCATTCCTCCTCTCTCCCCTGCTCCCTCCCTCCTTTCCCCTGGCCCCTTCCTCCCACACCCCTGCCCCTCCAGGACTCCAAAGGGTCCTAAAGAAATGAGGAGCCACATTTCTATTGGTTTAGATACTGCACCCGAGGATACTCAGGGGCTACTCCTGGCTCTGCACTCAGGAATCACCTCTGGCAGTGCTCAGGCTACCATGTGGCGTTCTAGGGATTGAACCTAGGTCGACTAAGTACAAGACAAGTGCTCTTCCAGCTGTACTATCCCTCTGGCCCCGAGGGCTCACTTTTCAGAAGGACGCTGGAAAGGATGATTCTATTTTTATATTTTATTTTTGGCTTTTGGGGTCACATCCAGCGATGTTCAGGGGTTTATTTTGACTCTTTACTCCTGGAAGTCTTCTGAGAACCACATTGGATGCCGGGGATTGAACCCAGGTCTGCTGTGTGTAAGGCAAACGCCCTACCCACTGTGTTATCGCTCTGACCCCTGAAGGGTGATTCTTACCCCCACAGAGCTTGTGTTCATGTGTAGAGAGTGTGCAGGCGTTCAGAGAGGGCGAGGGCCTGGTCTGGGCTCACACAGCAAGGGGGTAGTGGAAAGGGACCTCGCTTGCCTCGGTCTGCGCAGTGCTCCATGAATCGGCTTCTCAGCCCTCTGTCCACCCTGCAGGGAGAAGCTGGGCACCGTGGACTCGGTCTACATCATCAACCCTGAGGACGTGGCCCTGCTCTTCAGGTTTGAGGGGTCCTACCCGGAGCGCTACCAGATCCCACCCTGGGTGGCCTACCACCAGCACTTCCGGAGGCCCGTGGGGGTCCTGCTGAAGTGAGTCTCTGTGCGGGCTCCCTGTGGGGCCCAAGATAGGACCCAGGGAGGCCTGGGTTCCCTCCCTGTCATCTCATGGTCCCCCGGGACCGCAAAGTATGACCCAAACCAGAACATAACAGAGCAAAGCCAGACGAGCCGGTGCTGCTCTGTGGTGACGCCAACTGGTCCGCCAGCCTCGGGGAAACGGCCAGTCTCAGCACCGGCCAAACTCCTAGCTGACGGCTGGGGACTGAAGGTCCCCAACTCCATGCAGGCCCTGGGCCAGTCTGTGGGACAGAGCAGATAGGACAGGGCCCTCCCCGTTCAGTGGCCAGTGGGAAACTGGACGCATGAGTGTCCTAAAGGAGGGTGACGGCCTTCCCCCCTCTCCCCAACAGTGCTTGGACACAGACCCTCTCCCTTTGTGGCAAGGCTGTGGAGCCCCTGGGCACTAGCTTTGCTGCTGGGGGCACAGGGTGACATGGCTTTGGAAAGGGCTGGCCGTCCTGTGGGAGGACTCTCAGGAGCCTTGGAAGGGGGCCTCTCCTCAGGGACACCTGTGGAGACCTCCATCCTGCCCCCAGGGCACATGAGCTGGGATGTGTGCACAGCCACTGCTCCTGGTAGCCCACCCAGACAGCACCTCCAGCCCTGTGGTGGTGAGGCCGGGGTGACATCAGGGAGACTGGCCTACAGCTGAGTTTAGCGTGAACCCGAATCTGGGCGCTTTCCCACCAGCAAAGGGCAGTGGGGTGCGCTGTGGGGGCTGAGGGTTGTCAGGGAAGGGGGCAGAGTGGCTGGGAGAGGCAGGAGGCGAGCGTGGGCCAGGAGAAGGTCAGCGGCACGAAGGTGCGCCCACTGCGGAGGCTGGAAAGTGACCTGATGGCTCTGGAATCATGAACCGCTGGCACGCAGGGTACGAGTGTGTGAGTGTCAGGGCGAGTGTGTGTGGGGGTATATGCCGGTGTTGTATGTCTAGTCTGTGTATATTTGTGTTTGTGGTGTTGTGGTGTGGTATATGTATGGTGTGGTGTGTGTGTGATGTGGTATGTGCGTGATATGGTGCATATGTGGTGTGTGCATGGTGTGTGTGGTATGGTGTGTGGTGTGTGTGTTGTGTGGAGTGTGCGGGTGGTATGGTGTGTATGTGTGGTGTGGTGTTTGTGTGGTGTGTGTGGTATGGTGTGTGTATGGTATGTGTGTGGTGTCGTGTGTGTGGTCTGGTGTGGAGTGTGCAGTGTGTATGTGTGTTGTTTGTGTGTGATGTATGGTGTGTATGTGTGGTGTGTGTGTTTGTGGTGTGGTATGTGAATGGCTTGTGTTTGTGGCATGTGTGTGGCGTGTTTGTATGTGGTGTAGTGTGGCGTGTGTGTATGATGCATGTGTATGAGTAGTTGCGTGTGGTGTGTGATGCCTTTGTGTGTAATGTGGTGTGGTGTGTGTGGTGCGTGTGTTGTGTGGTGTGGTGTGTTGTGCATTTGTTGTGTGGTGTGGTGTGTGTGGTGCATGTGTGTGAGTGTGGTGTGTGTGTGGTGTGGTGTGTGTGGTGCATGTGTTTGAGTGTGGTGTGTGTGTGGTGTGTGGTGTGTGTTGTGTGGTGTGGTGTGTGGTGCATTTGTTGTGTGGTGTGGTGTGTGTGGTGCGTGTGAGTGTGGTGTGTATGTATGGTGTGTGGTGTGGTGTGTGGTGCGTGTGTTGTGTGGTGTGTTGTGTGGTGCATGTGTGTGAGTGTGGTGCGTGTGTGTGAGTGTGGTGTGGTGTGTGTGGTGCGTGTGTGTGAGTGTGGTGTGGGGTGTGTGTGATGTGGTGTGTGTGGTGTGTTGTGTGGTGTGGTGTGTGTGGTGCGTGTGTGTGAGTGTGGTGTGGGGTGTGTGTGTGATGTGGTGTGTGTGGTGTGTTGTGTGGTGTGGTGTGTGTGGTGCGTGTGTGTGAGTGTGGTGTGTGTGTGGTGTGTGATGTGGTGTGTTGTGTGGTGTGGTGTGTGTGGTGCGTGTGTGTGAGTGTGGTGTGTGTGTGGTGTGTGATGTGGTGTGTTGTGTGGTGTGGTGTGTGTGGTGCGTGTGTGTGAGTGTGGTGTGTGTGTGGTGTGTGTGGTGTGTGGTGCGTGTGGGTGAGTGTGTTGTGGGGTGTGTGTGATGTGGTGTGTGTGGTGTGTGGTGCGTGTGTCTGAGTGTGTGGTGTGTGTATGGTGTGTGTGTGTGTGAGTGTGTGGGGGGCTGGGGCTCTATGTGTCCCTGAGGCCGCGCGGGGCTGTTTTCTCAGGAAGTCGGGGGACTGGAAGAGAGACCGGCTGGTGCTGAATGAGGAGGTGATGAGCCCCAAGACCATCAGCCACTTCGTCCCCCTGCTGGAGCCTGTGGCTCGGGACTTCATGGGGGTCCTGCACAGGCGCATGGAGCAGCAGCAAGCAGGGACCTTCTCTGGGGACATCAGTGAAGACCTGTTCCGCTTTGCCTTTGAGTGTAAGGGGGCTGCACCCTGCTGGGTGGTGGGAGGACCCCGCACCCCGTCCTGGGACCCAGCGCAGACCTGGGCAGCTTCTGGAATGAGTTTGTGGACACCCACCTGGCTTTCGCTCGGGAGAAAGGGCTCCCCAGTGCACCTCCTGTCACCCTCCCACAAAGCCCGTGTTCGGTGCAGCCCTGCACGCTGGCGTCTCCGCCTGGGACGGGAGCTTCTGGGTGGTGGTTGACATGAGTGGGCGCTGGAAGGAGCTGCTGATCAGGTGGGTAAGGGGGTCCACTTTGCACGTGCAAAGTCCCAGTGGCTGTCGGCTAGCCTAAGGGGCCCGGCAGGAGGTTCTGGACATTGAGTTTGGGATAAAATCCACATCAGAGTGCACAGCGGGTAAGGTGCTTGCTTCGTGAGCGGTTGACCCAGGTCTGATCCCAGGCACCACCTATGGTCTCTCGAGCCCCACCAGGAGTGATCCCTGAGAGCAGAGCCAGGACTAAGCCCTAAGCACTGCTGGATCTGCACACAACCCTCTCCCCCCATTTTTCACGTCCTAACTCCTGGCGTGGGTCTGGATGGCCAGTTGTCCTGGACTGCGTGTTCCCTGGGTCCGTGGCTGCAGCCAGCTCTGTGGTGGCAGTGGTGTGAAGACTCTCCAGTGGGCTTCTGTCTCAGTCCTATGGGGCTGTGTGGAGATGGGTGGGAACGCACTGCACACACAGGCGTGTTGAGAGTTCTCAGGAGGACTCAGGGAGACATCACGCAGCAGCCGTACGTCTCTCAGGCCTGTCCTGTCACTAGACACGTGGACCGTGTCAAACCCACTGGCTGGAATCCACAGGAGAACCTCGGGGTTCAGGAGAGGCACCGGAGGCTGCTTTGGGGGGTGCTCTGAGAGGGGCAGGCGGGACAGTGTTCCACCCACGGCCCCTCTTCAGGGTCTTCCCCCGCCCCGCCCCCTCTCTTCTTGGACCGAGCTGGTGGCCAAAGACTGACTTGGGCAGTGCTGCAATCCTAGTCCCCCCTTCTCAGGCCTTGGTTTCTCTCCTGTGTTGTTGTTGATGGGGGGGGGGGTTCAAGTCCTGGCTGGACGGGACAGTCCCCTTCAGCTCTGCCCCCCCTGCAGCCATCACCCATGTCATCTTTGGGGAGCGGCTGGGCACGCTACAGGAGATGGTGAGCCACGAGTCCCAGAGCTTCATCGATGCCGTCTCCCAGATGTTCCAGACCAGCGTCCCCATGCTCAACCTCCCCCCAGACCTCTTCCGCCTGCTCCGGACCAAGACCTGGAGGGACCACGTGGCCGCATGGGACTTGATCTTCGACAAAGGTGAGTGGCCCCTGGCTGCAGTGGGGACTAGACACCCAGATCTGGAGGCAGAGGGAGGAAGGGCGGGGAAGGAAGGGAAAGGGCTGAGGCCCCCCTCCCTAGAGCTGTGCCAGCCTCTTTGTGCCTCATTATGGCAGCGGGCACCGACACCCTCTGATGGGTGGGTGCATCAGGAGTGCCTGGAGACCCTGGAAACAGTGGGCAGAGCCGGCTGCTCGTGAGGAGTTTGTCTGGAGAAAGGAGGGTAGAGAAGCCCACCACAGTCTTTCCAGGATGCCAGAGGGCGCAGACAATCTCGGGGCACTGGGCTGGGTGCCCACCCAGGCCTTTGGGGACAAAGACTGTGGGGGGGGGTGGTGACAATCTCTCCACACCTGGGCTGAGCAGCCACTCCCCTGGATGGACTTCCTCTGGTCTCCACGTCTGCCACAGAGGCAGGGGTGCGAGGGGGTGGGGGTGGCAAGAGGGATACTGGGGACATGGATGGTGGAAATGTTCACTGGTGGAGGGAGGAATGAGTGTTTGATCATTGTATGACTGAAACCCAATCATGAAAGCTTTGTTACGGTATCTCATGGTCATTCGATAAAAAAGAAAGAAAGAAAGAAAGAAAGAAAGAAAGAAAGAAAGAAAGGAAGGAAGAAAGGAAGAAAGAAAGAAAGAAAGGAAGGAAGGAAGGAAGGAAGGAAGAAAGAAAGAAAGAAAGGAAGGAAGGAAGGAAGGAAGAAAGAAAGAAAGAAAGAAAGGAAGGAAGGAAGGAAGGAAGAAAGAAAGAAAGAAAGAAAGAAAGGAAGGAAGGAAGGAAGGAAGAAAGAAAGAAAGGAAGGAAGGAAGGAAGGAAGGAAGAAAGAAAGAAAGAAAGAAAGAAAGAAAGAAAGAAAGAAAGAAAGAAAGAAAAAAAGATGGGGCTGGAGTGATAGCACAGAGGTAGGGCATTTTCCCTGCACATGGCCGACCTAGGTTGGATTCCCAGCATCCTATATGGTCCCCCGGGCACTTCCAGGAGCAATTCCTGAGTATAGAGGCAGGAGTAACCCCTGTGCATCACCAGGTGTGATCCCCCAAAAAAGGAAAAAAAATAGAATGAATGACAAGGAGCCAGAGCGAAAGTACAGTGGGGAGGGTGCTTGCCTTACATGAGGCCACCCCGGGTTTGATACATGACATCACATATGGTCCTGCCGAGACCACCACGAGTGACATCTGAGCTCAGAGTCAAGAGTAAGCCCTGAACACTGCCAGGTGTGACACCAGACAAAAACAATGACAAAACAGAGATGTGGGTTGAGCACAGGTCTGGGCTGTGTGCCACAGCGCCCTGGAGCTCCAGCACCCCCAGCCCACATCAGCACCCCCTCGTCCCGGGAAGCCGCCTCTCCGCACCCCTGCCCAGACCCTCCGTCTCTATCTCCCTCCGGTCCCTCAGCGGAGATGTACGTCCAGAACTTCTCCTGGGAACAGAGGAAGCAGCAGCAGCTGGACACGTACCCGGGCATCTTATACTGCCTGCTGGGCAGCAACAAGATCCCGTTCCAGGACATCAAGGCCAACGTGACGGAGCTGCTGGCGGGTGGCGTGGACACGGTGAGACAGGCCCCGTCGGGCCACGGCCTGCCTTCCTGATCCCTACCAGCTGCGTCTGAGACTGACTGTCAGTATCTCTCACCTATTCTGGGATGCAGGCGATGTGGGTCCCCATGGGCCAGGGCTTGACGCCGCTGGGAGCAGATGGCACTGAGGAGGGCTGAGGCGAGCAGAGGGAGCTGAACCCCCCACTTGGCCTTCAGAGTGTGAAGCGGGCAGAAGGATGGGAGCTATTCCAGAGAGTGCCTGTGCCCGGGCGACACCTTGTCCCCCAGGCATCTGGTTCACAGTGCTCAGAGCTTACTCCTGGTCCTGTGCTCGGGGATCACCTCCGGGGGTGATGGGGATTGAACCCGGGTTGACCGTGTGCAGGGCAAGCGCCCTCCCTGCTCTCCTAACTCCCCAAGCCCTTGAGCAGACTGGAAACCGAGACCACTGCCATTGTGCTGAAGCCACCAAGAAGCACCCGCCTGTTCCAGGGTGGATGTCACTGCCAGGTACACCAAGGAAACATCTATGGCAGCGGGACCCTGCAGGGCCCACTCCCTTAGTGCCAGCTCTGCTTCTCTGGCACCTGCTTGTTTGTGGTTGTGGTGTCAGGGGTCACTGACATGCTTGGTGGTGGAGTACGCCCACTTGGTCACGATAGTCACTGATGTGGGTCACCTGGTGTGGTACTCACACGTTTCCTGTCCTGTGCTCTCTAGGACCACGGGCACAGAGGGTGCTGCTGGGGACAGCCTCATGCCTGCAAGGCAGCTACTTTTTTTCTCTTTTTGGGTCACACCCGGCGATGCTCAGGGATTACTCCTGGCCCATGCACTCAGGAATTACTCCTGGCGGTGCTCGGGGGACCATATGGGATGCTGGGAATCGAACCAGGGTTGGCCGTGTTGGCTGCGTGCAAGACAAATGCCCTACCTGCTGTGCTATCGCTCCAGCCCAAGGCAGCTACTTTTAAGCTACGGAACCACCCTGGGCTCCGACTCTCCCTCCCTCCGTCCCTCCCTCCGTCCCTCCCTTCCTCCCTCCCTCCCTCCCTCCCTCCCTTCCTTCCTTCCTGTCTTCCTTCCTTCCTTCCTTCCTTGCTTCCTTCCTGTCTTCCTTCCTTCCTGTCTTCCTTCCTTCCTGTCTTCCTTCCTTCCTGTCTTCCTTCCTTCCTGTCTTCCTTCCTGTCTTCCTTTCTTCCTGTCTTCCTTCCTTCCTTCCTTCCTTCCTTCCTTCCTTCCTTCCTGTCTTCCTTTCTTCCTGTCTTCCTTCCTTCCTTCCTTCCTTCCTTCCTTCCTTCCTTCCTTCCTTCTTTCCTGTCTTCCTTCCTTCCTTCCTTCCTGTCTTCCTTCCTTCCTTCCTGTCTTCCTTCCTTCCTTCCTGTCTTCCTTCCTTCCTGTCTTCCTTCCTTCCTTCCTGTCTTCCTTCCTTCCTTCCTTCCTTCTTCCTTCCTTCCTTCCTTCCTTTCTGTCTTACTTCCTTCCTGTCTTCCTTTCTTCCTGTCTTCCTTCCTTCCTTCCTTCCTTCCTTCCTGTCTTCCTTCCTGTCTTCCTTCCTTCCTTCCTTCCTTCCTTCCTTCCTTCCTTCCTTCCTGTCCTTCCTTCCTTCCTGGCTTCCCTTCCCTTCCTGGCTTCCTTCCTGTCTTCCTGTCTTCCTTCCTTCCTTCCTTCCTTCCTTCCTTCCTTCCTTCCTGTCTTCCTTTCTTCCTGTCTTCCTTCCTTCCTTGCTTCCTTCCTGTCTTCCTTCCTTCCTTCCTTCCTTCCTTCCTTCCTTCCTTCCTTCCTGTCTTCCTTCCTTCCTGGCTTCCTTCCTTCCTGGCTTCCTTCCTGTCTTCCTGTCTTCCTTCCTTTCCTTCCTTCCTTCCTTCCTTCCTTCCTTCCTTCCTTCCTGTCTTCCTTTCTTCCTGTCTTCCTTCCTTCCTTGCTTCCTTCCTGTCTTCCTGTCTTCCTGTCTTCCTTCCTTCCTTCCTTCCTGTCTTCCTTTCTTCCTGTCTTCCTTCCTTCCTTGCTTCCTTCCTGTCTTCCTTCCTTCCTGTCTTCCTTCCTTCCTGGCTTCCTTCCTTCCTTCCTTCCTACCTTCCTTCCTTCCTGTCTTCCTTCCTTCCTGTCTTCCTTCCTTCCTGTCTTCCTTCCTTGCTTCCTTACTGTCTTCCTTCCTTCCTGTCTTCCTTCCTTCCTTCCTTCCTTCCTTCCTTCCTTCCTTCCTTCCTTCCTGTCTTCCTTCCTTCCTGTCTTCCTCCCTTCCTTCCTTCCTTCCTTCCTTCCTTCCTCCCTCCCTCCCTCCCTCCCTCCCTCCCTCCCTCCCTCCCTTCCTTCCTTCCTTCCTTCCTTCCTTCCTTCCTTCCTTCCTTCCTGTCTTCCTTCCTTCCTGTCTTCCTCCCTTCCTTCCTTCCTTCCTTCCTCCCTCCCTCCCTCCCTCCCTCCCTCCCTCCCTTCCTTCCTTCCTTCCTTCCTTCCTTCTTTCCTTCCTGTCTTCCTGTCTTCCTGTCTTCCTTCCTTCCTTCCTTTCCTCCCTCCCTCCCTCCCTCCCTCCCTCCCTTCCTTCCTTCCTTTTTCTTTCCTTCTTTCTTTCTCTCCTCCTCCCTTCCTTCCAGAAATCAGGGCGCAGAGTGGTTAAGTAACACAGCGTCACACAGCTAGCATCCCCCATGCAACCGTTCTGTGTCCCATCTTGTGGGAGGACAGGCTTGCAGGGTGGGCGGGGCATCGAGTAAGAGGACGAAGGAAGCTTTCTGGGGTTGGGGGCCGTGGAGAGAGAGCTCAGGGAGTTCAACGCCGTAGATGCATGCTGGAGAGAGGTTGGTGTGGGAGAGCAGGGGACCCGTGGTCCAGAGCGGAGGTGCTGCTGGGGGTTGGGGGACTCAAGGGAGGGCTGCAGGCTAGGGGCAGTTGCTTCTGCTGTGGGAGGAAGCAGTGCTCTCTATGGGTGTCCTGGCCCCGAGCCCTGCGCCAGCACTTAGGGAGGAGCCTGGGGGCCCTTGGAAGGGCACTCACGCCCTGGTGGAGTTGTCCCACCTCTCAGGGTTAGCCAGCAAATCAGAGCGCTGGTTTGAATTGTGGGGGGTAATATTGCATCCTAACCATAAACTGGGGTCCTTGAAGAAGATGTGGACGGGGGAGAGAAACCTCCACTTGTGGAAAGGCCATGTACAATATTCAGTGTCCTCAGTTGTCCTGTGGCGTCGGGATACCCCCAGGTATCAACCCCATCCTTTGTGTCGTGACCCTCCAGTCCTGAGCATCTGTGGGTTCCGCAACAACCTCCTGCCACCCCGAGGATCAGCACCCGTCCTGCCCCCAGTCCACGGACAGCGGTTAGGACCCAGCAGCAGAGAGTGACCCTCAACCTTTCTGTCCCCCCAGACTGGCACCGTCTGAAGCCCTTTGTTCTCCGCACCCCGATGGACAACCAGGAGAGGCAGTTTCCATGCCTTCCATTGGGGCTGTGCTGCTGTGGGCAAATACTCTTATTCTGGAAGATTCTCTGGGGAGAGGGGAGAGGGCTGCTTCTCCCAGGCAGGGAAAAGGAAGGGACACTGTTCAGTCCAAGTGGGAGCCAAGCCGGTTTGTCCTCCAGAGGGGTGAGAGTTCTCCTGGCTGGGGCGTGGCCAGTGCTGGTGACATGAGGAACAAGGACGGGAAGATACTTCCCTATCCCCTACCCCCAAACGCTTGCAGGGTGGCCAGAAGGTCTGTGTGAATGGGAAACTGGGTTTGCTTTTGTGGCTGGCAGGGCACTGGGATGAGGTTCTCGGGAATGAGAACTCCGCAGGGGCTGAAGCGACGGTCCAGCCACGTATTGGCCTCACACGTAGCCAACCTGGGTTCAATCCTCAGCATCCCATACAGTCCCCCTGAGCGTCACTAGGGGCGATCCCCGAGCAGAGAGCCAGGGGAGCCTTGAGCACCGCTCCAGGTGGCCCCAAATTCAAAAAATCAAAAATAAAACCCAGAGCTCCGCGGGGGACCAGCTGGCATGGGAGTGGGTGACCGCCCCCTCTGCTCCCTGCCCTCTTCCCCGCCCACCCCCCCAGACCTCCACGACGCTGCAGTGGCACCTGTACGAGATGGGTCGCAACCTGATAGTACAGAGGATGCTGCGTGAAGAGGTCCTGGCCGCCCGGCGCCAGGCAGCCGGAGACGTGATCAAGATGCTGCAGCTGGTCCCGCTGCTCAAGGCCAGCATCAAGGAGACGCTGAGGCAAGCTCCCGCCCCCACATCCAGGGCCAGGGGAACAGTGGTGTCTGGGCCAGGGTTAGGGCCAGGGCCAGGGCCAGTGGAGGAGATTGGTAGCAGGGAGTGAGGAGTCTGCAGGACACACCTGGGAATAGCAAGGAAGGGTGTGTGTGTGTGTGAGCGCGCGTGTGTGCATGCGTGTGTGTGCATGCATGCGTGAGTGTGTGTGTGTGCGCATGCGTGTGTGAGTGTGTATCATACCAGAGATGTTCCTAGTCCTGCTTCTGGGACTGTGAGGCCATGCTGAGGATGGGGCATGAGGCTGGGGGTATCCAGACCTGGGGAAAGCCAACTTCTGGGTGCTTCGTTCTGGCAGACTCCACCCCATCTCCGTGACCCTGCAGCGGTATCTCGTGAATGACTTGGTGCTTCATAATTACAAGATCCCCGCCACGGTGCGTGGAGCAAGGCCAGTGGACAGAAGGGGCAGGGTGGGCTCCCCTGCAGCCAGCAGTGGCCACAGGGCCTCTGTCCCGCCTCTGTCCTACCTAGTGGGAATGGGGATTAGTAGAAGGGCCGGACCCTGAGTAGTTTGGCTGAGCACCCATGGGCTCTCTAGGTCTTGGGGGCCTGTGGGGGCCGAAGGATGGACAGATGGTCCAGTGTGGTGAGGGAGGGAGGACTCATAGGGTGTCAGCTGCTGGACAGGCAGGGGAGTGTGTGTGTGAGCGGGGAGGGGGCGAGTTGTGCCTAGGGTTCTGAGGACATGAGGCACCCCTCATCTTGCTCATCTGCCCCCAGACCTTAGTGCAAGTGGCTGTGTATGCCATGGGCCGGGACCCCACCATCTTCCAAAGACCCGAATCTTTTGACCCCACACGCTGGCTGAGTAAAAACAAGGAGCTCACCCGCTTCCGCCACCTGGGCTTCGGCTGGGGCGTGCGGCAGTGCGTGGGCCGCCGGATCGCCGAGCTGGAGATGACGCTTTTCCTCATCCATGTGAGAATCAGACCTGCCTGCGTTTCCCCAGTCCTGGCCCTTCCCATCCCCTGCCCCGCTGCCTCCTATGGGGTGGTGGTCCCCGCTCGAGCCTGATGCCATTGGGGGTGATGACAGGGGGGTGGGTGGGATGCAGGTTCGGGGCAGGACCCGGCTGTGTGATTCTGGGGGATCAGGCAGGGTGATATGGGGGGCTAGGGGCTCAGAGCATCACGCTGCTGACAGTGGCGGGGAGACAGCCCCCCCTGAGCCCTCTCCTCAGCCCAGCGCCCCTTCTCTCTCTCTCTCTCTCTCTCTCTCTCTCTCTCTCTCTCTCTCTCTCTCTCTCTCAGTTCCTGGAGAATTTCAGAGTGGAAATCCAGAAGCTCAGGGATGTGGACACCACATTCAACCTCATCCTGATGCCTGACAAGCCCATTCTCTTCAACTTCAAACCCTTCCACCAGGAACCCCCTGCGGAGTGACCAGAGAGCGTGCCCCGTGCCTCTGCCTGCTTGGCTGCAGCTCTGTGGGCGTCTCGGCCCCTGACCCCTGGCCCTGCTCCCTTTTCGCCCTCTTCACCCAAGCAAGCTGGCCCTCCGGGCAGCTAAACCTTCCCCTTGATGCCCACTTCCTTGCCCACCCTGGGTGGGTAAAATAAACCGCTGGACCAGGCAGGTGTGTCCGTTCCATCTGACCCTGAGGTGTCCATCACTCTGGTGATGGTGTTCCTGACCTGAGTCAACAGCAGGACTGATGCATGAGTGGGGGTGGCAGGGGGCAGGGCCATGCCTGAAGCCTCCCCCTCCCCGCCCTCCACTGCTGGGGACAGTCCCCCTGCCGCTCAGGACTGGCCTCAGGACTTCACATTGGCAAGGCTCGTGTCCCCTCACTGCTCCCTGGGGCCGGGGTGAAGCAGGGCCATGGCTGGCTCTTCCCTGTGCCCGGTGACCCTACAGCAGCTGGCAGAGGCCAGAGAATGAGGCGGGGTCCTGCGGAAGAACAGGGCAGCCGAGTGTGAGTGAAGTTCTGCTTCCTGCGGGAAGCAAAGATCCCTGTGGGATCCTTCTAGCCAAGGCCAGGAGCAGGGAGAGGTGACTGACCAGGGGCAGTCTCTGCTGACCCCTTAGACCACCTTCTGGGCTTCTCAGGACCCCCACTTCCTGCCTTGGGGACAGGCCCCCTGCTGAGCCCCAGAAAGTGTGTGTGTGTGTGTGTCGGGGGGAGACTGAGGCAGTGTTGGTGAGGACTGAACTGTCTGACATTGTGCCAGTGCCAACTCGCTTTGGTCACTATGGACTGGCCCTTAGCACCCAGAGTCTAAGTGTGCCCAGCTGAAGGTGCTGTTGGCACCACCGTGTGACCGGCATGACCGAGCCGGCTCCACTTTCCACTCTTAGTTTCACATTTATTTTTGGCATCCTTGGTATACCCAGGTGGCTGGGTGCTCGGGGGTTGTTCCCGGAAGTGACTGGGGGACCACACAGGGTGGGCATGGAAATGGGGAGTCCTGCATGGAAATGGGGAGTCCTCAAGTGCTTTTGCTTGAGTCCACCGAGCCCTCTCCCAGCCTTTGAAATCATTCTAGGAGCTTCTCTGCTTTGCCCCTCCCCACAATCCTCTTCCTTCTTGTCTTTCTCTCCTCTTGCCGCTTCCTTGCTTTTTTTTCCCAGGCCGGAGTCGGAGCTTTGACTCGGAGCTCGGGAGCTGGGAAGCGTGTAGCTGCAGTCAGAAAACATTAAGCTCTGCCTGGGCTCCCAGAGAGGGTATCAGAGGGTCCTGGGCTCGCCCTGCGGGCTGGGAGCCAGAATCCAGGCGTGCAGCCTCCCCGCTGTCCACTGGGGGGCTCCCTCCCCCGGGCCCCGTCTGCTTTGCTTGTCTCTTGGACCCTGCCCAGCCTAACCCTGGTTCATGGGAGCATTTCACTCTGACACGATGTCCGACTGCCACAGACAGTCTTCAACCTCAGCCTCCCCAGAAACTGGAAGGCCAAACTGGAAGGAAGAGATTTCCGATCTGCTGGGCGCCGGGGGACAGGTGGGAAGTCCCAACCCACTCACGTCTACAGAGCGGAGTGGGTCTTGGGTCTGCTCTCGGCCCTCCCAAGCTGTCACTGCTGGGGAGGTGGTAGGTGTGGGACTGCTGAGGGGAGCGAGCCCCGGCCCATAGCAGGGCCTGGGGGAGGTAGCAGGGGGTCCACAGACAGCCCTGCCCCCTGCTCTGGAAAGAGGCCAATGAACAACAGCCTTGGATGCAATCATGTTTTGGGGAATTGGTGAGATCCCAGCACACACAGAGGGAACCCTCCAGGACTCTGATCCGGACATGTGCAGGCTTGAGGTGGTTCAAGGGCAGACATCAAGGGCTCCAGCTTCAGGGCGGCGTCTAGTCTTGGGGTGACTCAGGGGATTCTGCAGGTACAAAGCAAGGAGAGGTGAACTTGCCCCGGAACCCAGCGGCTTCCCATTCGGATGCACCTTGCCCGGCATGCTGTGTTTGGAAGAATCCAACCCCATGGGCTGAGGGTTCTCCAAGATGACGAGCTGGGGAGGGAGAGTGTGGGGTACAATGTGTGTGAGAATTTGGGGTATAGCATATGTGGGGGAGATTGTGGAATGCAGTGTGTAGAGGGAGCATGTGGGGTACAGTGTGAGAACGTGGGTTACTGCATGTGTGTGGAGCATGTGGGGTACAGAGTGAGAATGTGGGGTTCAAAGCGTGAGGATGTCGAGTCCCGTGAGAGGCCAGGAGCCGGGCAGCCATAAGCATAGCCAAGGCCAGAAAATGGAGAAAGGTCCCCACGGCAGCAGCATCCACCCGCCGCCGCCGCCCTGGGTGCCATCATCCCATGGTGCGTGAGCTGGGTCGGTTTTGGCCCCAGGTCAGCGGGACAGAGGAGGGCCAAGGGCACTGGCCTTGGGGTGTCTGAGCCCGCCTCTCTGACCCTCTGGGGCGAGGCTCCTGCAGGGAGCGGGAGGGCCAGCCTGCCCCTGAACCCGGAGGGGCTCCCCCGAAGGCTGACTCACTGCAGGTCAGTGTGGATGGACCTTGCAGGGTGCTTCAAGCCGTACTCCTGCTCCTGCATCCGCGTGGCCAAGTCCTGCTTCTCTCGCGCCCAGTGACGAGCAGAGTTCTCAAGCTGTGAGGGTGCATGGGAGCTGGTGAGTGCAGGGTCGACCCCAAGGAAAGGGTGCCCGGGCCCTCGTGCTCTGGGAGGGAGGAGAAAGGCCAGACCTGCGGGCACCCATTCCAGGGAGCAGGGGAACAAGGAGTACGGGTGCATGGACAGGGACCAAGTATTTACCTACTTGGGTGCAACAGTGTACAGACCTGAACCTCAATGAACCATGAGTCAGTCCCTCACAGAACCCCGAGTCTATTGTACACTGAACCCCAACTCTGTCCCTCACAGAACCCTGAGCCTGTCCCTCGTTGAACCCCGAGTCTGTCCCTCACAGAACCCCGAATCTTTTCCTCACAGAACCCTGAGTCTGTCCCTCATAGAATCCCGAGTCTGTTCCTCACAGAACCCTGAGCCTGTCCCTCACTGAACCCCGAGTCTGTTCCTCACAGAACCCTGAGTCTGTCCCTCACAGAACCCCGAGTCTTTTCCTCACAGAACCCTGAGTCTATTGTACACTGAAACCCAACTCTGTCCCTCACAGAACCCTGAGCCTGTCCCTCGTTGAACCCCGAGTCTGTTCCTCACAGAACCCTGAGTCTGTCCCTCATAGAATCCCGAGTCTGTTCCTCACAGAACCCCGAGTCTGTCCTGCACAGAACCCTGAGTCTGTTCCTCACAGAATCCCGAGTCTGTCCCTCACAGAACCCTGAGTCTGTCCCTCTCTGGACCCTGAGTCTGTCCCTCACAGAACCCCGAGTCTGTTCCTCACAGAACCCCGAGTCTGTCCCTCACAGAACCCTGAGTCTGTTCCTCACAGAACCCCGAGTCTGTCCCTCACAGAACCCTGAGTCTGTTCCTCACAGAATCCCGAGTCTTTTCCTCACAGAACCCTGAGTCTGTCCCTCACAGAACCCTGAGTCTGTTCCTCACAGAACCCCGAGTCTGTTCCTCACAGAACCCTGAGTCTGTCCCTCACAGAACCCTGAGTCTGTTCCTCACAGAACCCCGAGTCTGTTCCTCACAGAACCCCGAGTCTGTCTCTCACAGAACCCTGAGTCTGTTCCTCTCTGGACCCTGAGTCTGTCCCACAATGAACTCTGTGTCTGTCTTACACTGAACCCTGAGACTGTCCCTCACAGAATCCCAAGTCTGTCACATACTAAACCCCGAGTCTGTCTCTCACAGAACTCTGAGTCTGTCCCTCATTGAACCCTGAGTCTGTCCACAGGAATCCCAAGCCCTGTCATTGGCCCCTGGCGAGCCCCTCACTCAGGACCCCCGGCACACCCACCTGGCTCTCCAGGGACAGGATGCGGCTCTGAGCTTGTTCCAGCTTGGCCATGAGGCTAAGCTTGTCTGACGACGACGAGCCGAGGAGATCCTGTGGGGACGGCGAACACTCACCACCACCCCTGGGCCTTGTCTGTCTCCTGCACCCAGCGCCCTGTCACCCGCATCTGTCCCTGCTCAGACCAGCTGGGCCTCATGCCCGGGTGGTCCCTGCCATGGTGTGTATTTTTATCCTGGCACTGCTCCCCCAATTTGGAGGTGCAGGAAGATCTCACACATGGTTAGTTCATACGAAAGGCTCTGGGCGGCACTTTCGGGTGCCCAGGAAGGAATCCGGAACGGGGCATCCTTGCAAAGTGAGTCCCCGTGGGGCGCCCTGGCCTCACATCCAGGCTGGGGTGGGCTTTCAAACCACTCACCTCCTGGGTGCAGAGAACAGCTTCCCTGCGTCCCGGACCCTCTTCCAAGGCATCTGCCTTCAGGTTTGCATGAAGCAGGGGCACCTGTGCCCACCTGGGGAGGGAGCGGGGCACCCACCTGTGCGGGCCGGGTCTCTGTGCCCCAGGGGTGGCCTCGGGCATCCACGTTTCTCGGCCTCTGTGCCTGATCGCCTCCTGCTCCCAACTCCCCGGGGTCCACCTGGCATGGGGAAAGGGCTCTCCAAGGTGGCCTGGAACCCAGGAAACACGCCGGGCTGGGTGCTGGAGGGCCCACGTGGAGTCGAGCAGGGTGGAGCCGGCTGGCCACGGAGGTCAGGCTCGGGGTAAGGCCAGTGCGGGGTTTTCTCCCCAGACTCTAGGCGAGGACCCAGGTGAGGTTCTGGGCAGCGGAGAGGGTGCCAAGCGGGGTGGAGAGCGGACGGTGGCCTGGCCCCGGGGAAGCCCAGCTTCGTCTCGTCTTCATCTGGGTGGGCCGCGGCTCTTACCGGCAGCGCCTGCTGCTGCAGGATGATGGGGGCCGAGCGGCTGCCCTTGTCCAGCTCGGCCCGCAGACGCGCGTTTTCTGCCATCAGCACCGAGTAAGCGTCCGGAGGCTGGTTGTCGGCTGTGGGACGGGCTGAGTAAGGGGACAGGGAAGGCTGTGATGGCGCCACACGTGGCCTGCCGTGTCCACGCCCACGTCCCGGCCTGCTCTGCCCTCCTCTGCTCCTTCCAGGCTCCCGGGCTCCCCAGAATCACTGCCCTGCCCCGGCGCCTGGCTCTGTCCCAGCCCTCTGCCCTCTGCGGCCTGTCTCTTCGCCCTGGGCCTTCGCCCCGCCTGCTCCAGCCGCTCCCCTCTGGCCTCGGACACGCGCTGGAGCTGAGCCTAGAGTGTCCCCTGCTTCTGGCCTGTCCCCGGGGTCCCCTCTGATGGGCAGCTCTAGCCTGGGCTGGCTAACCCAGGGGAGAGAGACACCGCGTTTTCACAGCAGCACCTTGTCTGCGGGGCGGGGAACGGAGACGCGTGGAGTGTGGGCGTTAAGGACGGGGCAGTCATCCTCTCTGCTTCTCTCAGCCTGTGCGGCCTTTCCCCGAAGGTCCAGCGGCCTCCTAGCCTGGCTCACTTGCAGGGCTGCATGGAGGGGGGCCCTGGGAATGCTCGGGGTCTGAATGAGTGGAGGCGTAGTGTCCTCTGCCACTGTTGGAGGGGCCACCCGTGACGGAGCTCCGGCTCACCCCTGCTCAGTGCTTAGGGACGACTCCTGGCTCTGTGCTTGGGACTCACTCCTGGCTCAGTGCTCACTCCTGCTCAGTGCTCCGGGATGACTCTTGGCTCAGTGCTTGGGGATGACCCCTGGCTCTGTGCTCAGGGATGACTCCTGGCTCTGTGCTCGGGGATGACTCATGGCTCACTGCTTGGGAATGATTCCTGGCTCAGTCCTCAGGAGTCACTCCTGGCTCTGTGCTTGGGGCTCACTCCTGGCTCAGTGCTCGGGGATGACTCCTGTCTCAGTCCTCGGGGCTCACTCCTGGCTCTGTGCTCGGGAATGATTCCTGGTTCAGTCCTCAGGACTCACTCCTGGCTCTGTGCTTGGGGCTCACTCCTGGCTCAGTGCTTGGGGCTCACTCCTGGCTCAGTGCTCAGGGCTCACTCCTGGCTCTGTGCTCGGGGATGACTCCTGGCTCAGTGCTTGGGGCTCAATCCTGGCTCTGTGCTCAGGGCTCACTTCTGGCTCTGTGCTCAGGGATGACTTCTGGCTCAGTGCTCAGGGCTCACTCCTGGCTCTGTGCTCGGGGATGACTCCTGGCTCAGTGCTTGGGGCTCAATCCTGGCTCTGTGCTCGGGGCTCACTTCTGGCTCTGTGCTCGGTGCTCACTCCTGGCTCTGTGCTCGGGGATGACTCCTGCTCTGTGCTTGGGGCTCACTCCTGGCTCTGTGCTCGGGGATGACTCCTGCTCTGTGCTTGGGGCTCACTCCTGGCTCAGCGCTCGGTGCTCACTTCTGGCTCAGTGCTTGGGGCTCCCTCTTGGCTCAGTTGTTGGGGGGCTCACTCCTGGCTCTGTGCTGGGGGCTCATTCTTGGTGAGGTTTGGGGGGTTCCTAGGGGTGCCCATAATCAGACTAGTGTTGGCCTCTATTCTCTCTCTCCTGCCCCTGGAAGGTTCTCTTGCACCTGGCAGGCTCCTGGCAGGCAGGGAGAGCAGAGGGCCGGGGGATGGCGGGGGGCAGCAGACTCACCCAGGGTGGGCTTGCCCTGAGGCCTGTTCTGCTGAGCCTCCTGCTGCAGTCTGCCCTCCAGCACTTGCTCCATTTTCTGGATCACCTGAGGGGTCGGTCAGGCAGAGAGGCGGGGCTGGCAGTGAGGTGGGGTTCTCCACACCGTCCCCGGGGTGAGCCGGGCCGAGCCCCTCCACCTGCCTGCTCCTGGTGCCGCACCGTCTGCTCAAGTGCCTTCACCTTCCGCAGCTTGCCCTGGAACTGCCTCAGTGTCCCGTCCTGGGCCTGGCCCGCCTGGTTCTGGAGGATCAGCTCCTTCTCCCGGTCATTCTTCTGGGGCGGCCGGGGAGAAGGGGCAGGGCGGGGGCCAGACGAGCTATCTGGCCATCGCCCTTGACCCTGGAGTCCACCACAAGCCACTGTGCCGAATACCTCTCCCCCTATGTTCTCGCCTTTCTACCCCCAGAGTCTCTTCTGCACCCCCGACTCCTCCCCCTCACCCCCCCCCCCCCCATGCTCTGTGCTCTCCCCCGTCCCCCGAGCCCAGCTCACTCGAATCAGCTCGTTCTGAAGATGCTGCACCTTGTCCCTCAGTTTCTGGGTGTCCAGCTCTCTCTGAAGCAGCTTCTGCCGCAGGGAATCTGAGTTGGGAGGCAGGGTACAGGGGCTGAGCCCAGCTCCCAGCATCATGCAGGGGAGGAGAGGAGTGTCTCCGGGGGGGCTCACGGGCGCTGGGCTCTTTGGTCTCCACCCCTCGCAGCCCTGGGCAGCAGCGCGGCCCCCGTGCCCTCACCCAGGTCCTCGTTGTCGCTGTCCTCGTCCGCCCGAGTCTCGGCCCGGCAGTTACGCAGCAGCTGGTTCTCGGCCTCCAGCGAGCTCACGCGCTTCCGCAGGAACAGAATGTCCTCGGCCATTCGCCGCAGAGCCCGGCGGCAGTTCTGCAGATCCTGTGGACCCCAGCCAGGCTGGGTTCGTGCTGCTGGGACCCCCCTCGCCCCCCACCGCCCAATGGTCCACGAGCAGGGGAGCCCTCGGTTGTGACCGGCAGGCGCAGCCCTCCCCTCCCGCCCGGGGACAGCATCGCTGAGCTCAGGAGGCCTTTCTGGGGCCTCGTTTCTGCTCCTCTGACTCGGGGGACCCAGGGCTCAGATGCTGGGGAGAAATCCCCAAAGGGACAGAAGGAAGGTCCGTGGGGTGGGGGGCAGGCCCAGGGCTGGAACTCCACCAAGCTCTTTCCTGCCTCCTTCCCACCCTTCTCTGCCCCCCATCCTTTCTGCCTTCTCCAGACTGTCAGGAAACATCCCCGAGAGCCCGGGGGCTGACCCAGGCCTTGGAGGTGAGGACAGGAGACCAGTGCCGACACTCAGGAGGGGGGCTCAAGCGTCTAAGCAGTGGGGGCTCCCAGGTCAAGGGGCTCCCTCACCTCGAATCCTCCCGATGCACCTCTGCACACAGCAGCACCGCCATCTCCCCATCTGGGCACCCCAGAACCAGGGAGAGACAGGCGAGAACTGGGAAGGGGAGGAGCGAGGGGCAGTGCTGGGACCTGCGTGTCATGGTGGTGCCGTCCCGCCCCGCGCCCCTGTGGGTGGAACCATCACCCATGGCAAGACGGGGTGAAAGCTGGTGACCCAGGAGGACTGTCAGTGTGACCTCAGCTGGGTGAGTTTCCCGCCGCCCACAGGTATGCAGGGAACATTCCACATTTGTGATAAATGGAAATGCTTGTCACGGGACTGCCTCAAGTCGAAGCAGTGAAGAAGCTAAGAGGACCCGAAGGTCCCGGCACGGCCCATGAGCAGGGGAGTGCGGACTAGCGGGGTGCTGTCGAGCCTTGTTGGCTGGGAGATGCTCCTGGGCTCCCCACAAGCCCCTCAGAACCTCAGGAAGAACAAGTCCGGCCGGGGGCTGTGCTGAGCTGTGGCCAGGTTCCCAGTCACTCCTCCGACCTGCTGCCCAGAGGGCCACTGCGTGCCAGGGAGGGGCGGGCAGCGGGAGCTCCGCACTCACCACTTGTCACCTGCCTTCTGCCTACTGGTGCCAGTGCCGCTCCATCCTGACAGCCCAGACTCTGCCCGGCTGCAGGCTCTGTCTCTGCACACCTGCCCGTCTGGCGTCCCTCCCAAGGGCTCAGCTCCTGGGATGCTCAGCCTGGACCACATAGGGCCCTGGCATGAGTGCGCCAGGACAAGCGCTTCCCTCAATGAGCCTCAGGCCCTCCTGGGAGGAGGGGGGGGTGCTGGGGGCTGGAGCGTGTCCCCGCACCCCTGCCTCGTTCTGTTGGAGGGCCACGTTCATCAGCTCAGAACCCTTCCTCTCCCGCCTGTTGTTTCCCCGCTGAGCCTCCTGGCTTCTACTTTCCATGCTGTGCCCAGAGTTTCACCTTGGCAGTGCGCCCCGCCTGCAGGGCTTGAGACACCCAGCAGACAGTCAAGAGGGACACGATGATATTGGGAAAAGGGAAACTCCTCCTTTCCTTTCCAGCCTCTCCGTCTGGGCTCCAGCTCTGCTCTGAGCATCGTCAGCAGAGATCACATGGGTGTCTTTGCTTCCCTTGTGACCTAAAGAAACACACACACACACACACACACACACACAATGCACACACACGCAAACACACACTCACGCAAATGCACACGCATGCTCACACGCACACACACAAACATACACACACGTGCGCGTATACACACTCGCAAGCGCACAATACATGTATGCACACACACATGCCCACTCACACACATGCACACACGCGCGCGCACACACACACTCTCTCTCGCACGCATAGACACACACATGCATTCACACACATCCAAGAAAACCGGGTCAAGGAAGTTCACTGCAACTCAGTTTGCATCTTAACTTAGTCTCTGAAATGAGGCAGTATTTACGACATGTGATTTACATTTAATTGCCCTGATAACAGGGAGTTGTCTAGCGACATTAAATTTTAAAAATTGCATGCTAAATTATGAGCCCATCTACAGCAGGTATGTGTGTGTGTGTGTGTGTGTGTGTGTGTGTGTGTGTGTGTGTGTAGGGACAGTGGCCCCTGCTGAGTTTGGGGAAGGAAAGGGACACTTGTCTCATCTCTAGTTTTTACCTTCTGTTGGGACTGTGGGGGTTGAGACACACCTGTGGGTACTCAAGGGCTGACCCTGGCTCTGTGCTCATAAGCCAGGTAAGCGCCTCACCTCCTGTTTAGTCATTGGTCCTAACATTTGCACTTCTTCTGAGAAGGCGTCCCTGTACCAATCATAGGTGTATGGTTGGTATGCGATAATCCAAACCTGGGGTTGGAGAGAGAGTGAAAAGTTCTTGCCTTGCACACAGCTGCCCTTGGTTTAATCTCTGGCATCCCAGAGGGTCCCCGAGCACTGCCAGGAGTCATCCAACCTGGGTTCGATCTCTAGCATCCCATTTGGTCCCCTGAACATCACCAGGAATAATTCCTGAGTGCAGAGCTGGAAGTAACCCCTGGGCATCAACGGGTGTGCCCCCCCAAAAAAACAATAACCAAAAACAAACAAACAAACAAAAAATGGCAGTAAGAACTGAGTGGGCAAGGCCACACAGGGCAAAGAAACTTACAGCATGCAGATGGACTCATAGCCAGAGAGTAAGACACCACCTCCAGATTGATAAATACAAGAGTAAGAGAACTTATCTTAAATTTAATCTTACTTACAGAGCAAGATAAGTTCTCAAAGTCAAGACAGGGCACCGATAGATTAAAGAGTAAGAGATCTAAAGAGCCTCTTGAACAAATAAAGCCAGTATGAACCCTTCCCGCCACCATCAGCCACTAAAATCCCAAGGGTACTACCTTAAACTCACTGGAATGACCAAAACAAATGCAAAACAGTCCTGACATCCCCATGTTGGATGTGGGATACGTGGACACTTAGTGGTTGTGGCGTGGGGAGGAACTGTCAGTGTACCCACTGTTTTGGAGAACAACTTAGGTTACTGGGCACACAAGTAGAGTTTACAGACCAGCACTTCTCTCCTGAGCACATTGACCCAGTCAACATGCTGGTATGAGAGGATGGAACAGCAGGTGCACACTCCCTGCCCCTACAAGATTGGTTCATCAATTTGCTTGAGCGGGCCCAGTAATATCTCCTTCGTGAGACTTGTTGTTACTGTGTTTGGCATATTGAATACATCACGGGTATTCGAATACATTGCCAGGCTTTGCCATATGGGCAAGATGCTCTCGGTAGCTTGCCGGGCTCTCCGAGAGGGGCGGAGGAATCGAACTCGGGTCGGCCACGTTGGCTGCATGCAAGGCAAACGCCCTACCCGCTGTGCTATCGCTCCAGCCAATATAAGATTGGTAATGATCGCAAATAGGAAACAACACACAGGCCCTCACAATAAAAGCCTGATGGTATGGTGTTCCTAGCAAGACAGATGGTGGAATACTATACAGCAGTAAAAAAGATGCAAAGCCATCAGCCACATAAACCACATGGAACAAGTGTGGAGAGCAGCCCCTGCCATATGATTCCATTAGAAATTTTCTTCCAAAACAAGCAAACTTAAGCCCAAGAGTGTGAGAGTGCATGTGCCCAGGTGCAGATGCATACCAGGAGATGGGGGCACTGGCCCCTGGAAAGAGTTCTGCTCACCCCCTCTTCTCATTGAGGATTTGTCCTTTCTATGACTCCACTGTCTGTCGTGTCTGGCACCCCCAGGGTGGGCAGGACACACTACTTGAAGCTTCCTCCTCCAGACCAAGAGGCGGAGCCAGAGTGAGGGGGACAGGAGGGTGTGGCCCCTGAGCAAGGGACCACCACGTCACCCCCTGGAGAAATGCCACCTTCCTGGGGTTTCCACCAGGACCTCTCCAGCCCGGCTGCTCCTGGGGGTGAGCTCTCCCCAAGGCAGGTGCTGGCCGTGCTCAGTCTCTACCCTGCCCTGTTCCCCGTCCAGGCGCCCGGGGAGCCCCAGTGTGCACCCCCACTCAGCCCTGACCTGTGTCCGCAGCCTGGGCCTGGCTCCCCTCATGGCCACGCGCTGCGTCATGATCCAGCCTTGAGATAGCGACAGAGTCCTCGGCCCCGCCTGCCCTCCCCGGGCCCCAGTCTGTGGGGGGTGGGGGCTGCTATGCATGCCAACCCCACCCCCCCGCAGAACCTGGATTCTGCTGCGACAGTGGAGGTACCGGCTTTTGCTCCTCCTCTGCCTTCACCCATGCCTGCATCCGGCCCTTCTGATGCTCTGCACTCGTGGGCCCCCCAAATGTCTCCCGGTGTGGCCCCAGCCCAGCACCACCAGCACCTTAACAAAAGATAATTGGGGGCGGCACACCTGGAGGTGCTCAGGGATTATTTGTGGCTCTGTGCTCAGGAGTGACTCCTGACAGTGCTCAGGGGACCCTATGGGACTCTGGGATCTGAACCCGGGTCTGTTTTTCACACAACCCATGCCTTCTCCCTGGAACTCTCTCTCTCTGGCCGGGGTTGTTCTTTGGACGGCCCTCTGGGCTGCTCTTCTGAAGCCCCCTGGGAAGCAGGCACAGAGCCCCACGCCTCACTTCCTCCTACCCAGCCCGTCTCCCGCTCCTCGCCCTGGAAGGGGTGGAGAGTGATTCTCACCCTTGGTCTCCCCTTCCCTCCTCCTGTGCTAAGTCCTTATGGTGGCTCTGATGCTGCTGGCCCGCAGGGACATCAGAAAGACCCATGGCTGCTGCCACAGCCGTGCTGACCACAGGAGCCATGTGCCCTGCTGGACTGACAGAGGAGTGAGGCTGGCGGCCACCTATGCCCTGATGCAGCTCGGAAGCAGCTAAGCAAACACCCAGTCAACCAACAGTTGCTGAGCACCACCCACTCTCTGCCCGTTCTCCCCTGCAGTTGGCGTCTCTTGTCCATACTGAGATGGCAGGAAGTGCTAGTTGATAGAGGGGCCCGTGGAGAAGCTCTTAACCCAGCCTGGAGTCCAGGAAGGCTTTCTGCAGGAGGAGGTAATCTGAGCTGACCTTTGAGGGTGACTAGGCATTGCCTGGGGTGATGAGAGGGATCTCTGGGCAGAGAACACCCACCGCAAAGTCGGGGAGGTGTGAGGAAGAGCTCTGTGGGTAGGTCTCTGGAGCACAGGGTGTCAGGGGCGGGGGATATGGCAGGGGTCGGGGCTGAGAGGAAGAGGCTGAGACTGTCCTGCAGGTCACAGAGGGGCAAAGCTGATGCAGGGAGGTGGGGACATGTGTGTAGGAACACTGAGGTCTAGAGGGATGGCCCAGGGCACAGGAGCCCATGCAGGGCTGGATAGGGCAGGATGGGGGGGGGTCAGATGGGGTGGGGCAAGGGAGAGAAAGGCGTGCCGGGAATAAATGGGGACAAGGCAGATGCAGAGGGAGAAGTTGGGGTCCTGCTGAGGTGGTGCCCATGAGGGGGCAGGTGGAGCCGGCTACAGGGCAGGGGAGGAGAGGAGGGGAGCATGTGAGATGCTCTGCCCTGCCTGGGGGATCAGTCAGGAGGGCAGCCCCTGGGTGTGAGCACAGACCTGGAGGGAAGGAAAGTTCCAGAGTCTGGGAACACGGAAAAGAGAGGACCAGGGAGGTGGGTGCCAGGGTAGCCTCAAGTCTTGGGCAGCAGTCAGAGAAGTGGGTGGGAGCAGCTGGCAGGGGTGGGTGAAGTCTGGAGACAAGAGCCTGGGAGAAGGGCAGGGGTCAGGAGCGTGCCTGCCTTGAGGGGTCCCATCCCTGAGCACCATTGGGTGGCCCTGGTGGTCCCTGGAAACACAGGGCTTAAGCAGCACTGCACCCTCAGACCTGGTCGGCTGAATAGCCTCGGGGGAGGCCCCTGGAATCCCTAAGCCACTGTCTGGGACTCTTCCCCTGTAAAAGAAAAAGCACAAGTGAACTGAGCTGGTAATAGCCTTGTCATTCCTTGGTGATGTGTCTGATTCCACTCCGTTCTATGATGTCCTAGGTTCAATTCCTGGAACTTCAGAGAGAGATAACCAACCCACCAACAAAACTGGTAGGACAGTGAGGACTTTTGACAGACAGGGCCGAGGTGGTCCCATAGCAGAATATTATGCAGCAGTGAAAAATGCCACGGCACCAAGCAAAGGTGGGGATGAGTCATGCCCTGCCCCAAGCAAAAGCACCAGGAAGCAACGGCCAATACCAGCAGAGAAGTGCCCTGCAGTGAGAGTTCTGGTGAGGCCAACAGCCTACAGGTTGGGAGGTGACAGCCAGGCATGTCAGCTCTGAGGCTCTGGGGGCTGGCGAGGTCTCCATTCCTCCTGGGCATTTGTGTCAACACAGTTGGGTGATTCAGGTTCACGTTCAAAGCTGTCTCCCCGTGTGGGTTCCCGTGCAAAATTCACAGGTTTTTGGATTAAAAAGGCGAGCTTCAAGATGACCTTTGGCTACGGCTTCAAATGCTGAGGAGCAGACAGGGTGGGGGGTCGGGGCAAGGTCAGTGGGGTGAGAAGGGACCAAGGTCACTGAGGACACAGGGTGGAGGAGAGAGGACTTTCGGGGGAATCAGGAAATGGGCAGGGCGAGGGGTCAGGCTGCAGCAGGGGCCAGTGGGAAGGCCCTGGCAGCAGGCGCTGTGCGGGCCAGAGGCCTTGTGTGGTGGACGGAAGACAGTACCAGGGACAAGGGCTTCCTGGGTGGTCACTCTGCGCCCCTCCCCCCGCCTTCCCCTGGTCACTCTGCCCCCTCCAGCCTTTCTCTGTCATTCTGCTGCCCCCCCCCCCCCCCCGTTCCCTGGTCACTCTGTCCCCCAGCCTTTCCTTTGTCACACTGCCACCAGCCTTTTCCCCTGGTCACTCTGCCACCCGCCTTTCTCTGGTCACTCTGTGCCCCCCCCACACACACAGCCTTTCTCTGGGCAGTCATCCCCGTCTGCTCCCCAAGATTCCTTGACGCCTGCCCTGCATTTGTCCTGGCGACCACCAGAGGGCAGTAGCCCCCCACAGAAGCCCCAGTTTCCAGCAGCAAGAAAGAAGCAGGCGGCAGGCAGAAGGGGTGGGATGGGACGGCTTCACTCTGCAGCTCCAGCCCAGACACACACACACACACACACACACACACACACACACACACACACACACACACACACACTCACGTGCGCGCACAAGGTCCAGCTCACTGTCCCCACCCCCGCCACCCCTGGGCACTGATGACCCCTCGATGAGAGCCACCTGTGGGGCTGGCGCTTCAAAGCTGTAGGGCTGTGTGCAGGGCAGGAGGGGCTGACAGGGGGATGACAGGGGGCTGACAGGGAGGGGGCTGACAGGGGGATGACAGGGGGCTGACAGGGAGGGGCTGCCCTCCGCAGTCCTGAGAGTGCCCCCACCGAGAGATGCCCCATTGGAAGGGCCCTTCATTTCCCATGCCCTTCACCCCTCCTCACTGCCAGAACTCGGAATTAGGGACTTGCCCATTAAGGCCTCTGACAAAGGCCTAGGCGGGGCTTGCGGTCAAGACTAATCCCTCCAGGGGTCCTGCCTCCACTCCCTGACTCACTCTGGGGTGGGGCCTGGAGCAGCCATGAACCCCCATGGTCACCTCTCTGCCCGCACTTTTTTTTAAAACAACAACAACAAGGTTAAGTGAGAGCTACCAGTTCAGAAAAAAAGTTCGGCTTTTCTTTTCTTTCTTCATTTTTTGGGATTACACCCAGTGGTGCTCAGGGCTGACTCCTGGCTTTGTGCTCAGGGATCACTCCTGCCTGGTGGGCTTATGGGATCATTTGTGGTGCCGGGGATCAAATTCTTGAACCCGGGTTGGCTGCCTGCAAGGCAAGCGCCCTGCCCACTGTCCTATTGTCCTGGCCTAAGGTCCCCTCTGCCCGCATTCTTGAGGGCTTCCAAGCCCAGTGGCTCCAGCCCCCCAGCCCAGCTCCCCCACAAAGCCAGCCAGCTGCCCAGCCAGTCGGCCAGTCAGCGGCCAGCCACTGCCTTTAAGCTTGCTGCCGGGATTGTTCTTTGTTCCATCCAAGGTTACAGCCAAGAAACAAAAGGAGGGCCTTTCCCCTCCCCTTCCGTCTCCTCCCTGTGGCCCACCCTGGGAGCGCTTGTGCTTAGGCCAGGAGAGGGAGAGAGGCCAGCACCTAGGCAGGGCTGACCCCAACTCCTGCCGAACAGACAGACGCTGAGTCTTGTGGGAGCCACACCCGGGGAGCTGAACCGCATTAGAGTGGGGGGCTGTGCTGGAAGGAGCTGTCCCCACCCCCAGGTCCTGGCCCCCAGCCCAGGCCTCTGAGCCTCCAGTCTGGCTCCTGGCTCCCTCCCAGCCCCGTTTCCTGCAGCATCCCTTCCCTCCGCCAGGAAGCCCCCCCAGGGTCAGAAGTCAGTCATGTCTCCTTGGGGTTGTGCTTCTGGCCTGGACTAGAGATGCCCAGGGCAGGTCCTGAGGGGTCAGACCCCCGCCTCACCCCTCTCCCTCACCCCGTCAGAGCTGGCTCTCACTGACTGCCCCTGTGGGGTGCTGGGGTCCTGCACGAGTCAGGCCCAGCCCCTGCCCGCACCTGTCACTGCAGTTCAGTGTGACCCTTGCCGGCTCTGTGGCTTGTCCTCTGTGAGTTGGAGTGGTCCCTGCCGGGGTGGGGTGGGGGGATGGGTTATTGCCACCGTGGAAGAACAAATGCTTTGGTAACTGGGGTCCGGCTGAGATATGTCCAGCGCACAGGAGCCCCTGGCCTGAGGCAGGTGCGTCTCCTCTTAGGGGGTTGTGGCCTCCCGCCTCCCCTGCCCGCACCTCAGCCAGCCTCCCTTCTCCAGGATGGAGGGCGCGGCCTTTCAGAGGCCAGACATGCAAGACACATGTCTCCTAGGGCCCTTTGTGGTTCTGGGGTGGGGCTGAGAAGGGGTACCCCCCCTGCCTCCCACTCACCAGGTTCTGGGGCTGCCTCTGAGCATTGCCAGGCAACACCCCAGCACTGTTTGCTCGGTGCCGGGCCAGCCCAGCCCCTCATCAGGGGCTGTGGGGGCAGACTCACAGATCGGGGGTGCAGGCGCCCGGGGGTGTCCTGGGGGGCAGCCTGTGACGGTGGGGGTGCTGGCTCCCCCATCCTCCCTGCTGGCAGTCCTGGCTCCCTGCAAGGCCTCTGGGGCCTGTTGCTACAACAAGAGCCTCTGCCTGGCTGCAGAGCCCAGCTGGAAGCAGCAGCCGGGCCTTCCCCTGGGACACTGGGAGGCCGCTGGCCGGGGCGGTGAAGTCAGGCT